AAATGAGAAGTAAAATGCAGTTTTCGACTGCAGCTTATCATTCCTATGCTTTGTTACTCGGACAAATACAAAATGAATGAATAAACATTATATGCTTCTGTTTTTGTATGTTTTCTAAATAAGACCACGTGCCCATACCCAACTGTAATAGCGATTAAAGCGATCTATTCTTTTAGTATTTATGTTAAAGCAAGACTTTTATTTTATTACTGTTGTGGGATTAACCTTTGGAACCACTTAAATTTAATAAGCACAAAAACATATGACATAAACACGACTGTATTGTGGGTTTTACGGCTTTTTTGGAGGTCACCGACTCCGCTGCTATGAGAATTACTGACTGTCTCATTGTTGTTTTGATGGGTTAGCGGTATACTAATGCTATTGCCTATTAATAAAAACCAAAGGTATGATACACTGAAGTATATTGCAGCTGGTGTTTAAAAGGAGCTTGCCGGTTCTATTGATGATAGGACCTTTCTGAAACAATCTCGGACCATGAAATAGGAAGGCAATTCACTTATAGCTCAGTAGCGGGTTTCACTTGATTGCTGTTTGTGGGCGTGTACTCCGTTGCCTCGGGCCACTTCTGATTGGTGAGCTTGACTGTCACATAAAGAGCACGGTGCTTGTGATTGGTGAGAACGACTGTCACATAGGGAGCACGGTATGAGTTTGGAAAACTATTCTTACAACAGTTTTAAACCCTGGGTCTGACGTGCTGTATAATGTACGTGTATGTCCTAAATCGCAGCCTTTGTGATTTGCTAATCATGTTCTTTCAAATCGCGATTTCGATTTGAAATCGATAAATCGTTCAGCCCTAGGTGGCGCTGTTACTTTTTTTGAACCTGAAAGAATTTAAGGTGTTGTCCCATATTCATTACATTATTTGCACTGTTTACACATTTTGAATCCACAATTGCACCTTCACTCTATTGCAATCAGCACAATTTTGCCCTTGGATTAGCATCATCTGGGCTTCTTTTTAGGTACTTCTGTGAGTTTGTTCTTTGGTTTGTAGTTCTGTGTCGTCATTGTATCACTGTTAACATTTATATAATAATATACCTTTTTACGTGCGTTGTGAGTCCTTTATGCTGTTGCGGTAGACTATATTGTGAATAGTACATAGCTAACCACAGGTCATTAAGAAACATTTAAATCATTCAAAATATTTTTTATTTTAACTAAGGATTTATATAGGCTTTAGCATTTGTATAAGTTTGCTTTAGGCTTTTGCTCTGGTCATCATAAAAAGCACCCCAAATCAGCCTGTTGGTAATACAGCAGAATTACATGGTTATTCTGGGTATTCTGAACCTAATATCCAAAGTTTCACTTACAATAAAAAAGAAAATTTTGTAATTTTACCTGTTAATTTTTGAGGAAAATAGAAAAAAGTTCAAATCCAGTTAAAAACTAAGAAGAGTAATACTAGTGATATATTTAATTAATTCTGTTAATCACATGCACTATGTATGACTAAAACATCATATGTGTCATAATCTATTTTTCTATTCTGCATACTTGTTGCTAGTAAGGCCATATCACTCCTGCCAACAATTAAGTTAATTAATACTGCTTCTTTGAAAGTTTGAGTCTTTCTCTAGTTGTACAGGAAATTTCTTGGTAGTAAAGCTTACCTGGGTTTAAGCCATGAATAGATCATATTTTAGCATAGGGAGATACATTTACTAATATGTTTGATGTTTATTTAAATGTCTGTTTTAAAATGAAAACTCGTCGGTCTCTCTAATGTAGGAGAGCATGATATGTCATCGTAAATGTCCATTCTGAAGCATTTTTACTCGTATTTAGAAGAACTTCTGAGATCTCTACTGCTCAGGTTGACAGGTGACCACAGTAAATGTTACATTTTTACTGCCAGCCACTCTGGCATAATGGGACTTTATTTTAGAATATTTAAACTTGTAGAGTTGAGAGCTAAAAGGTATTTTTATACAGGAAGGTGTGGTGGCTGATTAGGTATAATGTATGTATGTATGTATGTATGTATGTTTGTGTGTATATGTATATGTGTGTGTGTGTGTGTGTATATATATATATATATATATATATATATATATATATACACAGACACACACACACGTGCGCGCTCAGTTCTTCTGAGTTAATTATATCTTAAGGAGGCATCAGTAAAGACCAAGTACAAATCAGTATATATCAGTTATATATTTTTGGAGGGAGGGGTGCTTTACCAAGTTAATTGATCTGTTTCTGTAGGTCTATTAACTTGATAAAATAAGCATCAGATCAGGGGGCACAGTGGAATGGACGTGTTCTGTGCATAGCTGTCAAGTCTCCCGTTTTGGCCGGGAAACTACCGTATTTTACCCCTCTTTCCCGCCGTCTCCCGTATTATAATATCATTTAAAAAAAATTCCTCTGCCTCTCCAAACTGAACTGTCAGTAGCCTTGCGAGAACTGCCACCTGCAGTAGCCTGCAGGTCATTTACAACATTAACCAGGTCATAAATGCGGAGGTTAAAATGGCAATGCTGTGTGCCAAAAACAACGTTACTTTTACCTTCTGTGACGACTTCAACAAGGATACAAAGTCTGCAACAAATCTGTATAATAAGTCATTAGTGAATGCCAGAGAGCCACATGAGTGAACATGAGAAATTAAAAGAAAATGTGTAATGAAAATAAAATGTAAATGACAAGTGGTTATTTTCGATTTTTTGTACACCTGTCTTAAAATGTAAGGGATACTGGAGCTTGGTTGGGGTGGTGGGGTGGCTCGCAGTGGGTGCTGGAAAATTTCCCTGATTTTCAAATCCAAAACTTGACAGGTATGGTTCTTTTTGTTCTTTTAGTATTTATACATTGCAAACTGTTTGTGGGACAGATGTTTTATGGCTTATGGGACGGTTTATTAAATATTTTGACAGATTTTCACTACAGAAATTCTGGACCTGAATTTAATAGTGTGCCTTTTCATTAATGCTTATTTTTGTGTTCCTAATTTGCTTTGTTTATAGACTTTATTGTAGAGCAGGGGTGGGCAATTTTATCCAGACGGGGCTGTTGGGTATGTGGGTTTTCGCTGCAACTCCCTAATTAGTTTACTAATTAGAAGACGAATGATTGGATGAAGAGTCCTCACACCTGGGTTTGAACAGCTAACCTAAACGTTATCCCAGAAACCTGCATACACACTGGCCCTTTGTGGATAAGAAATGCCCACCCTTGTTCTAGAGATTTCTTATCTTGATTTTGAATTGTGCATTTCTTTTCTTCTTTTGCAGGTTAATTCATGGGGCGCAGTTGTTGAATGGTTTAGGTGGACCGACTTTAATGAGTGCAGGCCCTCTTCTCTCTACCACATGGTTTGCTCCAGACCAAAGAGCTACAGCCACAGCTGTTGCTTCTTTGGTTTGCTACCTAGGGTCAGCAAGCTCGTTTCTAATTGGTCCTCTCATAGTACCAGCACCCAATGATACCCAAGTAGTGGACAAAGGAATTAGCCAAGACATCAATCACATAAAGGACAGGATCCAACTTGTACTATATGCAGGTAATTTTCTTGTGCCAGTACAGCCAGTATGAAGAAAAATCTTATGTAACTATCTTATAAAAGCATATTTCACAGTGAAACACGGTCATCCACTCATCTTGCATAACTTTTATTGTGCATGGTGACATTAAGCTTGGAGCTTATTTCAGGAAGCATTGAGCTATGTACAAACTCAGTACGCAAGGGTAGGATTCAAGCCCACACCCTTCTAGATGTGTAGCCGCAGTGCAACCAATGAGGAGGTTTGTGGCTCTGCTGGTTAGACCCTATGCCCATGACTGCAAGGTAGTCTGTTCAAAGTCCATTGATGTCACTATTGGCCCTGCGAGCAAGGCTCTTAACTCCATTGCTCCCTTTTGTGTAAGGTCTCGTTCTTGTGTACTTCCAGAAAGAGGCTGCAGAAGGAAATGTGTACATAACCGAAGTCTGTGCTCTCTCTGTCAGTGACTTAGATACAGCAAATGGTACTAATTAAGCAACATGGAAGATCATCAGAGTTTACACCATTACTTTATCAGCAGCATAGGGGAGCAGTGAAAATTAGTAATCTGTCAGTTTAGCATTGCAATAAAAAAAAAATTGAACTGAAGAATTTTAACATCTACTACATAAAGTTATGAAAGTTCATATTTTATAAATATGTAGTTCCATTGCATGAATTATTCAAGCATTAATAAACGACATGTACAAGCAATGCAGATTCATAACTGGATAATATGTTGATTATCCTATGAAATTTTTATTGGAACAGTCTGATAATAGATTACCTGTGCAGTGTGAACTCTCAAGCAGTGTTATCTCTATTCGGATGATGGTGTAATACATAGTTCTCTGCCTGATTGCTCCGTTTTTCGCACCTGCAGAATTTGGGATGATCACAGTGCTGTTTGTGGCTGTGCTGCTTTACTTCCCGTCACGCCCCCCTGTGCCCCCCAGTGTGGCTGCTGCTAGTCAGAGGCTCAGCTACAGGAGCAGTATCTGCAGACTTCTCAGGTAAATTAATGGTTGTTCCCCTTATGCAGACCTTCTATTATACTCATAGTAGTATGGTGAAGTATAGGATGTGTCAGAATATGTTCCAATAGAACAATTCTGTTCTATATAGTAACAATTCTATATAGTAATTCCACAGTAGCATTTGTAATTATTAATTTGTAAAATTCTAAAGACATTAACGCTGCAAATGCTTTTTTTTTAAAAAAAAAAAACCAAACTGATGTTCACTGACCAAAAAACGGCAATATAAAGGTAATTAATTTGACCGACTGAAAATCCTGCATCTTTCGAAATATTTACTATGCCATGTTAAGTGTCCACAGATTTTCTAAGCCAGGGTTATTCAACTCACGGTCCTCGTGGTCCGAGCACTGCTGGTTTTCCAGCCTTTCTTTACCTGTCAGTCAGGTGTGAAGCCTCTGACCAATCAAAATCAGTAATTATTAAACAACTACCTGGGAGAACTGAAAACACGGCCTGGATTTGGAGTTGAAGAGTTGAAGAACCCTGTTCTAAGCATAGACCTGATTTGCTCTTTGGAGGAGCAGGCAGGTATGTCTATTTAATTGACCACTGAGTGCAGTGCCTGCACAATTTTGAAGTGTTTTGGGTTGTTATTCTAATGAAGAAGAAAAGACTGCTCAATCAGCCGTAATTATGACGGAATACAATACCTTCGAAGTACGCTAAAGCTATGCCGATTGAGATCGCCATGGGTTTGATGAAGATCACTATCACGGTCACCTGCAAAGTACCTCCAGACCATAACGCTGCCTCCTCCATGCTTCACAGTGGGAACCACATATGCAGACCTTTAGAAATACATGCTGGTTGAACCTAAATATTTCAACTTTCAGATTTAACTCATTGCCCTGCACTGTCCTGTCTCACATTGCACTGTAGTTTGTCCTATTCACATATGCATACACAATATGGACAAAAGTATTGGGACACCTGGCCATTATTCCTACAGGAACTTTTACAATATCCCATTCTAAATCCATAGGCATCAATACGGAGTTGGTCCCCCCTTTTGATGCTGTATCAGCTGCCACTCTTCTGAGAAGACTTTGCACAAAATTTTGAAGTCAGTCTGTGGAAATTTTTGCCCATTCATCCAGAAGGGCATTTATGAGGTCAGACACTGATGTTGGATGTGAAGGCCTGGCTCGCAATCTCCATTCTAGTTCATCCCGAAGGTGTTTGATAGGGTTGAGGTCAGGGCTTTGTGTAGGGCCGCCAAGTTTTTCCATACCAAGCTCACCCAGCTATGTCTTTTTGGACCTGGCTTTGTGCACTGGGGCACAGTCATGCTAGAACAGAAAGGGCCTTCCCCAAACTGTTCCCACAAAGTCCGAAGCATTGAATTGTCCAAAAATGTCTTAGTATGCTGAAGCATTAAGAATTCCCTTCACTGGAACTAAGGGGCCTAACCCAACTCCTTATCCCTCCTCCACCAAACTTTACAGTTGGCACAATGCAGTCAGGCAGGTAATGTTCTCCTGGCATCAGCCAAAGCCAAACTTATCCATCAGACTGCCAGATGGAGAGGTATGATTCGTCACTCCACAGAACATGTGTCTTCTGTTCCAGAGTCCAGTGGTGGTGTGCTTTAAAACCACTCCATCCAACGCTTGGCATTGCGCTTGGTGATGTGTGGCTCGGCCATGGAAGCCCATTCCATGAAGCTCCTGGTGCACAGTTTTTATGCTGGGCTTAATGTTAGAAGAAGTTCGGAACTCTGCAGTTCCAAACACCTATCACCCAGCATCGGCTGGTTACCAATGCCTGCAAGGAAGTGGACAAAGGAGTCTGCAGGAAGTCATGAAGGCAAAGGGCCTGAGCCAAATACAGTTTTTGTGTGTAATACTGTACTCACAACTTCTCCAATAACAAGACACAGATCACAAAACTAGACTGCTGTACCTGATGTGTAAGACCTGCTGAACATGAAGAAAATGGATTTCTTGGGCTGGTGATAAGGAGGGGATGAAGGGGGTGGAAGTGATGAGATAACTCCATGAGGTGGGAAAAACTTCTACAGGGACAAGTGAGACTGCATACTGCAGCATTTGGAGGAGCATCATTGGCTATTAACTGACTGTTTATTTAGTGGTGCAGTGATACTGGAACCGGGCCAATAAGATGGATGTATGATACCGCAGATTTGACTCTGAGTCACTGGCAGGACCCCCCACCACCCCTCTACTTCACCTCCACCACAGAGAATCTGACACTGTCTCTGCTCACCAGGTGAGAAGATAGTTGCACATGCTGGGTCTTTGGGAATGAACTCATAACCAGGGTGCTCACCATCCAGCCTCTGTAGCATTCTTTAGAAACTGCTCTCCCTTTTCCTGGAAGATTTCCTGCATAGTTTCCGTGCCAAGGAGGGGGTGTCCCTACACCTTCACGGACAGCACACCAGTTGTTGTTGTATCATACATCATTTACACCTTTTTGTTTTAGGATAATCTGGACCTGCTGTAGTTTGCTGACTAGTCACAGTTGAATGCCACTCTTATGTAAGTCGCTCTGGCTAAGGGCGTCTGCCAAATGCTGTAAATGTAAATGTAAATATGCAGTCTTAGCAGAGCCTAATACCACCAGGTAAACACTGGCACCATATTAAGGGTTATGTCCTTTGCTTTCTCCAGTGTCTTCAACACCAACCTGCTTCTCCACCTTGGTGACAAGCTTGGATATGGAAGTAAATCCGTGTCATCACAATTTGAATTTTATATGCCACTGAAATTCTAACATGGAATATTTATGCATTGGAAATATGCATCGGAAATTCGATATTCCGAATTCACATGCAAAAATACGAGGTTAAAGATACAAGTTATACATCCGGGATACCAAGGCTAAGCAATTGAATCTGTGGCTGCGTTCGACTTCATGCAGCCGCTTACAGCACAACAGCAATACATTCCGCTCCTGACGTTTGTATCCCAGGCAGTTCCGAGGCGTTATCTGCTATTTCTTCCGAATATCACGTAAAGCAATAGTAACTGTTTTTCAGTTAATTTGCCTGGTAAAATAAAGTTTAAATAAATGATATAAATGCTCTAAAAGTACACGTTTATTTATTGTTAGTTACTGAAATGTTGCGCTGCTTTATTTGTTAAATCGTCCAGTCTGTGACGAAGGCATTCAAGTAAGAATTGCATTTTACTCAGTACATGACAGTAAAAACTTTGATTCCTTGAGGTACATGTATTTGATCTTTTTCCTGGCAGCTATCTTTTTACGCAGGGCCACTATACACAATAATTTATTTTTTTTCCACTGCTAACAGTTTGGATCAGGAATTGGTTATTGGAAAAGAAGTCATGTGCATGCAGGTGATATTTGTATAGATTTATCTACACTCTTCTGGCAGTCAGGTCTCTCAGACTATGAGGAGTAGAAGTTGTCTGACTTGGCTGCAGTCAGTTTATACTCCACCCCTGCAGCCGCAGCCAGATGCTCTTGTCACGTCAGCTGCAGACAGACCTGAGCCCAAGTCGAACGCAGCCACAGATTCGATTGCTTAGCCTTGGTATCCCGGATGTATAACTCGTATTTTTAACCTCGTATTTTTGCACGTGAATTCGGACCATCGAATTTCCTATGCATATTTCCAATGCATAAATATTCAATGTTAGAATTTCAGTGGCATATAAAATTCAAATTGTGATGACACAGATTTACTTCCATACTTGGAGCTATACTGGTGAATGCTCCCATTGTTACCTTAAGGACAGGTGTCAGTTTGTGAAGCTCCAAAACTATATTGGAATCAATGATGAGCATCACTGAACTGTCCTGTTTCCATTCCTATTCTCCCTTTACAAAAAAAACTGCACGTGCACCACCAGTTAGCCCTCTGCTGAAGTCCTCCGATGACTCCTCCATTTAAGACTTCATCAGGAGTTGAAATGGGTCATAGTACAGGAAGCTGAAGGAGAAGAACAACCTGCAACTGACCATCAACAAGACAAAGGAGCTGGTTTTTGATTTACAGGATGACCCCTAAAAACCTCTGAGACCAATCAGAATCCAGTGAGAGAATGTGGAAGCAATAAAGTCATACCAGTACCTGGAATTTCATCTAAACAGCTGGAAGGACAATAAAGCTGTCAGAGCAAGTTTCCTGAGGAAGCTCAGGTCTTTCATTGTGCACAGCGTGCTGCTAGAGATGTTCTTCTAGTCTATTGTCGCAAGTATGTTTTTCTACACTGTGTCAGTGGCAGAGAAGAGACTGTTAGTGAAACTAAGTCCGTCAACAGCCCTGTATGCCCTTTGCACAACACTCAGTCCTGAATCAGCTTTAGCCATCTGGTCATTGTGCTGTGGTGCTTTAATTAAGAGGCACTACTGGGAATGTTTTCTGTTATGAGATTATGCAGCACTTTCTCCATCTTGATGAAATGATTTTGCTTTTCTTTTCAGCAATGTGCGCTTCCTCATGATTGCATTGGCGTACTCGGTGCCTACAGGAGTGGCGGCTGGCTGGTCTGGAGTTCTGGACATGGTGCTCACCCCTGCCAAAGTCAGCCAGGTAAGAATTAGTAACACTGCACTGAACCTAATTTACCTGCTACATGTGATTTTTAATGTACAATTGGAGATATTATGTGTTCACATAAATTCATCATATATAAATTCATCTTTCTTAATATAGGAGGTAAGAATTGCAAATTATTTAAAAAATCACATCAATTATAAAGTACTGGCTCATCAAAGAATGATACCTTGGATTTAAACTGCTGCTTATTAGTGTGAAAAGGGTCGTCGTTGTGCTGTTCAAAGGGAATACCAATCATATAATTGGGATTTAAGTGAATGTATGTGTATGCAGTGGAACCTCCATACCCACTGATTAGGTATCGGCAGTTTCAATAATCCATGTTTTACCGTGACCTGAAAATATTAAGAAGAGGGTGAGTACAGGAAACAAGCAATACAATTCCACATTAAAGTAAAAATGTTGTGTACAAGATGTTTTTCATTGCTGCATTGTCCATTGTGCGTTAAGCAAAAATGTCAGAATCCTGTTTATTCAAGAGAAAGAGTGAGACCACAATCACATGACTTTTATTACAGTATATTGTTAAAATTGTTTTATTAATAATTATTGTTGTTGATGTCTTATTGTGTGTGTTCCGGTACAATCTAGTGGTGAACCATAACTGAAAATTAGTGCATAGGTTGGAAATGGGGAGAGATTATACCTATTACAACAAATGTGCTTTTCATGTGATTTATTTACAAATATTGACTGGTGACAATTTGCTCAGATGTGGATGTTGCCAAATCAACAGACAAAACACCTCTACCTAAAAATGAAACCTGTTCAGCTAAAAAAATACTCTCAGACAATACACTAGACCTAACTCCCTAAATAGCCCAAAACCAAAGACAAAAAGTTTATAATAGACAATGGCATCCACGTCCAACAGTCCAAATGAAAAATGAGAACTAAAGTAAGAAATAGAATATCTAATTTGCAAGTATATACTAGGGTAAACAAAACCAAAGAAGAGACTGAGCAAAAATCATTGTCAGAATCAAGTCCAGATCAATAAAATTAATGAATATCTGGGCAGCTACGAACAAAGATATGAAGTGGATCCATGGACCGGAGTTAAACTTAATGTGACGACGCGTGACCTAAAACAGGGTGGCAATACACAGTACAAACAGCTACACACCATAATGTGTAATTTATAAATTGATCTTTGTCCGATGTATGCATGTACATGAAACACAAGTTATATATGGTGTTTGCTGCTATCCGCAGTAGGTCTTGGGACGTATCTCCCCTGGATACAAGGTTACAACCATAAAACAATCACCAATTGATGTTTTCCCCAGGTGGATGCTGGCTGGATTGGGTTCTGGTCCATTGTTGGAGGATGTGTGTTTGGAGTGGCAATGGCTAGGTAAGCAACAAGAAGTATTGGTATGTGCTGTTAATTACTACTTATGCTGTGCTGAAATTGGGGGAATGCCACACAACAATTGTTGGATAATCTCACATATCAGATTCGTATTTTGTAGCAAACTTTGTCCCTTTAGGACCACAATGATCATGAATCAAAAAAGGTTTTAATAGAACTATAATGGTAAATACAATTTAATAACCAGCAGTATGGCATTTAACATTAGTTTAACACTATAAATAATACTTTGCATTTGTTGTCCCAGGTTTGCAGACTCCATCCGGGGCATGTTGAAGCTCATACTGTTGCTGATGCTGGCTGGCGCCTCCTTAGCCTCAACTTGGTTCACCCTAACCTGCTTAACTCGACTGACTCATCTCCCCTCCACTGCAGGTGGGTACTTCCCTAAGAGATGCAGACATTGCCTGAATGACCAGGAAAAGTACACAAACAGACTTCTGGGCAGTACTCTAATCAGAGTAAACTGGAAGAAGGTTGCACAAAAGAGACATAAATTTTTTTTTGATATTCCAGTGTTTCATTGAGGTTTGTAATTTCATGTCTGGATGTGTCAGTGTAGTGAAAGTGAATGGCCTATAATTTCTTGCTTGAACAAAAGAGGAATTACTTCATATCAAGGTAGTAATTTTCTTCATATTAAACGGTAATTTTCTGGTCATACTAAAAACGTCCATGTTTTTGCTGGATGATTTGCAGAATGATAGCCTTGTTTTTTAGTTATTCCGTCATGATTGTTGTGTGTTTTGGGTCATTTTTTTTTATATTGATCTTTATTGTAAACATACATGCAGACTGAAGAAAAGTCCCCCCACTGGTTGCTTCATGGTATTTGTTTGGTCCCGATTAGATCAAAGGGTTAAGTTCCTTCTGATCATAAAATAGTCATCCAGTTGGTGTAAGGATGTCTCTTGTGATTTCTGGAAAACTCCAGGCGTTGTTAGCCTTTCTCAGAACTAACTTCCACTAACATTGGCAATCTTCCAGAGACAAAAGTTGTGTAGTGCTGGAAAAATAATGTCAGTTTCTGAACTGTTTTCCATCGCAGGCAATAGGCTTTGTAACTGAAATGGTACTTTTGGTCTTTTGGTCATTAAACTTATAGTTACCCTCTCGTGTGATTTTGCTTCATTTTGACAGGTGTTAGGATTATGGTTTTGCCATATAATGTTTGACTTTGTCACAGTGGACTTATCTGTGCTCCTGTCAAACTGTAGGACTACTGTTATATCGATAAATACATTTTACTGTCCTTACTCTGTAAATATAACTGTTTTCTTAACTTCAGTAACTCTTTTTCTCACAGCCACTCTATATACTTCCTGCATCCTGGTGGGCATTTTTATCAACAGTAGTGTACCAATCTTCTTTGAGATCTTCATTGAGACAGTTTACCCTGTGCCTGAGGGCATCACGTGTGGTGTGGTCACTTTTCTCAGTAATCTTTTCACTGGCCTCCTGCTATTTTTCCTCACTTTCTACACTACAGGTAAGGGGTCAGCACTCAAGTTTGTTAATGTTAACTTCCATTCTGAATTTTAACATTTGAATCATAGAAACTCCATTTGTTTTTCTGTTTTTTTTGGCTGTTAGGCTGTTCTAATCTTAATTTGTATTCTGAACAGTTGAGGATTGAGTCTGAATAAAAATTTTGAGTTGAATTTAAAAATTGTATTACCATGGTTCTGTCACGATTAAAGATTTTGCTTTTTTTTATAAAAAAAAAAAGTAGAATATTTCTTTTTATGTATCTCACACAATGTTTTTGCCATTTTCCATTGAAAATTTCCTCCAATATATTGTGATTTTTAAAGAATGACTGACTGCATTTCCTGATGTTTATGAAGAGAATATGTTGTATGAAGTGAATGTGTTGTATGAAATGTATGCTTTGCCATATATTTGATGAATTCTGCAATGGTAATATATGACTCCAGCTGAGTGGTAAATTGCTGATACAAGCAGTAATGTTGCAGTTATTTGTTACTAAATTGCCACTTTATGTCTTTGTCATCAAAGTAATACACATTACTCACTGTGGTGGACTTTTATTTTTACAGATCTGTCATGGCTGAACTGGTGCCTGACGGGGTCCTGTGTTTTCAGCCTCATCCTCATACTCTTTTTCAGAGAATCCTACGACAGACTATATCTGGATGTCTTTGTCTCTGTCTGAATGATACCCACTATCAGTGGGATGACAGTCATTAAACTCCTTGCTCCAAATTGCACAAAAAAAAAATCTGAGGAAAAGAAGTAGGAATAACATATCCTTTTTATTAAAATGATTTTATTGGTTTCTTTCTAGTATTAATAATTAAATTATTAAATAATATGAAAGAATGATGATTATATGTGTTTTTTAGTAAGAACCACAACCAACCAGAGGTCCTTAAATTAAGGGTAGGAAATTTTCAGTTGATTGTTATGTCAGCACACTCAAGTTTTCAAGTTTACTGCAATGCAATGCTTTCTTTTTTATGCCAAGGGACTGTTTTTTTTTTATTTTAAGAACATTGTTACATTTAGGAGGTTTTGTAGCAGGCACAGTGTCTTGTGGAAATCCTTGAAATTGCCTAAATCCTTTGAATCTTTTGAGTTTTTTTTTTTAATTACTTTCAGCTTACCCAGTGTTTCTTGGGTGGCACTGTTGAACATTATTTTTAATGTTTAATGTGTACAGATCAAGAACTTTCGTGATCATTGAAGAAAATGTCTAGACCTAGATTTTGTGATCTGTATTATATGTTTTGTTTGGAATATTCTGTGTATAATTCTGAAAGTAATTTCAGACATTTTAACCATTCTTACTATTGTACATGTTTACATTTACTTTAGTGGGCAACACACTAAGACAGGGAATAATATTTAATAAAGCATGTTATTTGACTGCCCACTGGAATGATACTTGCTGTTCTGGGGGGAGGGGAGGGGCAATTAAGGTTTATCTTCTGTTCTTAAAAATTCAATAATGTCAAACATCTTTCATCCATCAATACTGAGGAATCAATGATAGCATTGAAAATTCTGGAATGTATACATTTTTAAAATACCCTTCATTCTGGAGCTTTTGGTATTGTTGTTATTATTTAACATAATTGTTGCTTTTTGTAACCTGCACATTCATGCTGCGAATCTCCAGTTCCACCACAACCCAAGGGGGCTCTGTTGTATTAAGATCTGGTAACTGGAAAGGCCACTGAAGCAGACTGAACACATTTTCCTATTTATGGAACCAGTTTGAGATGACACATGGTTTGTAATATGGCACATTATCCTGTTGAAAATAGCCAATAAATGGGTAAACTGTGGCCATACAGAGATGCAGATAATCAGCAACAATAAAATTAATTGGAAATAGGGTGCCCAGTGTATGCCAAGAAAACAATTGTTACACCACCAGCAGCCTGGACTGTTGACATAAGGCAGACTGAGTCTGTGGATTCATGCTGTTTATTCCATATTGTGACCTGCCTTAGTAGACATGGAGATTTATCAGACCTGGCAATATTTTTCCAGTACTCCAATGTTTTCCAGTTTCAGTGAGACTGTACCCACTGTAGCCTTATTTCATGTGTTTAGCTCGCAGGAGAGGTGGCAGATATGGTCTTCTGCTGTTTTAGTCCATCCACCTCAAGGTTCAAAGAATTGTTCATTCAGAGATGCTTTTCTGCTCACCATTGTTGTAAAGAGTGGTTATTTGAGCTACTGTAACTTTCCTGTCATCTTCAACCAACCTGGCCATTCTCCTCTGACCTTTCTCATTAACGAGGCATTTCTGCCCACAAAACTGCCATTTGCTGCATGTTTTCTGTCATTGATATCATTCAGTGTGAACTCTAGAGGCTGTTGTGTTTGCAAATCCTAGGTGATCCGCAGACACTCAAACCACACTGTCAGGCACCAGCAGCAGTTTCACAGTCATATAGATCACATTTTTTTATTTAGATGTTTGATCTGACCATTAACTGAACCTCGTGGCATCTTGCTAGCATCATAAGGAACTGTGGCATTTTGTTCTCACCAACCTTCAAAACATGTCTACATCTTAGTGTGATTTTTGTTTTATGGCTCCATGTTACCATGTTCACATTTCTTCACAATCCACCTGCATTCTGCTTTAACTATTTTTTAAATCCATTGATCAGATGTTCTTGTAAAAGGCATTTTAAATATCTTTCCAGCTTAAATTTTATTGATGTGTCATATCCATCTATAGTTTTATGGCTGAAGTACAGAAGTTTTGTACTGGTTTTTAAGAGGAAAATTCATTTCACATATCTTTTACATCGAATCATATGATGCAGCTGTGTAATATATTTAGGGGTCCAAGCATGCAGTGCCCTATTGTATTTGCTAGGATTTTCTTATTATTCTTCTTTTGGACTAAAACAATATGGGGAGCAGAGACCATAACATGTAAAAACACAATTTGGTGGAGTGGTGCAGAATTCCCCCCATTACTCAGGCAAGCAGAATCATACCTATTGACCTGATGGTGGCGCCATAGCGCAGTGTTTTACGTTCTGGCCGATATCTCCGGAACCTTGAGTGATAGAAACAAAATTCTTTTTTTCCTCAAAACATTCCCTGCCTCATGTCAAGAAGATTGCAATTGGGACTACGAAGCTCTGCCTACTTAGATTTTTTTTTTTACTAATTTGCATAATGTGAAAAATCTACTTTTCTTGTCCTAGAGTCTAGACCAGGGGTGCCCAAATCCAGTCCTGGGGGGCCGGAGCCCTGTGTAGCTTAGTTCTTTCCCTGTTCCACCATAAAGGATTCAGGTCAAGAGCTGTGTGGTAATTAGCACAAGGAGTTAAATCAAGTGTGTTAAATGAGGGGAAACCCAAAAATGTGCAGGGCTCTGGCCCTCCAGGACTGGATTTGGACACCCCTGGTCTAGACCATCCGAATCACACAACTGTAGCCCTACCATTTTGAGACCATACAGACGAAAAGTTGTTTGTAGGATTTTGATCATGCAAATTGTTCTGATGCTACAGACAGAGGAATTTCTTACACGTAGCCTTTTTGCACTTAATTACCAATTTCTCATCAAACTTGCTATGTGTAGTTGTTGCAATTTTTCAAAGCCGCTCCCCAAATTTTGTAAAAAGTAACCCAAAAGGGGGTGCTGTAACCCAAAATAGCGTATAACTCAGAAACAAGTGGACACAGAAAGATGATACTATGTATACATATTCATGGCCAGATGTTCCACCTCATCATTTAGTAATAATCATAATCGATACTTTATTGATCCCTGTGGGGAAATTGTCTTTATGCCTCCCTCAACTTGCCCTTTGCAGAGTAAGCTGACCGTGCCACCTGTAGCAGCACCCAGGGAGCTGGGGGTTAAGGGCCTTGCTCAAGGACCCACAGACGTGCTGAGGCTGGGTTTGAACCGACCTTGTGATTACAGGTACACAGGCTTAGCCCACTGTAAAAGTTCATCTACACATTGAGCATAGCTGATAATAGCCAATCAGATTTCAGGATGCTATAATTGCCCTTGTATGTAACCTAGGATAATGAAATTTCCTCCACTGTTCAGGGCTGCAAAGAGACATTGGGCAGCCTAATCATTGTGCTGCAGTGCCATGTTTTACATTTTTTCTGAACTGTGGGTAAAAGAAAGTAAATTCTCTTTTCTTCACATTCCTTGGCTTCAGGGAAAATGTGCAAAATCTATTTTTTTGAACTTTTCTTAAACCTTTCATGTGATTCACACAAAATTTGTGGCAACATCTTGACACCATTTAGACAAAAAGTTTGATAAGAGTAATTCCAGAGTATTCCAGTCCTATACACAATTGATATCTTGTGTGTTCTCACCAAACTTACTTTGTCTAGATGGTGTGACCTTCTGAGGCAACTTTCCAAATTTCATAAAAATCCATTGGGGTGCTATAATTCAACCATTGAACATAAAATATATAATGTAACATAAAAATATTCAATTTGTTGCAAGTGTTCATGGCGCCTATTCAGGCCACAGTGCTTGGGCCCTGTTAACCACCTCCTGCAGATGTTTTGTTGGATTTGGTATATGGTGTTTTAAACATAAGACAAGGACTATATTTGAAAAATTGAGTTATGAACTGAAAGCTTTCAGAAAACTTAGTTGTAATGTGCTCAGACACCAATTTAGTGTCACTTTTCATCTCCATTCAGTCCTTGAATGAAGCAATGCACGTAAATCAGCATTTGTTGAGACATAGTCACAATCAGTCATTAAATAAAGTGAACTGCATTGTCTCAGTTTTCCAGCTGAAATATTTCTAGACCAAAGACTTGATTTCAATGGTATCAGTAAGCTTCTACATTCCATATCCTCGACTGAGGCAGTAACAATGTAAGCAACTGAGCCTTTAAAAAGAAATAAAATAAAATAAAAAAAAAATCTGGGAAAGCAAAGTTTGGAAATGGATGGATGGCAGTTCAATGTTTTGCTCATCCATTAATTAACATGCACCACCTAATTTATCCACTTATCATTACAGACTGTTTGGATCATTTTAACCATTGTTGGTGGACAAAATCTGGAAGCTGGTGGCTTGTGTCCAGGTCCTGTGAGATAATAAACAGACTGAAACATGGCTAGACTCCAGTCACTTCAGATGACCCTCCTGACCACACTCTACTGAGAAGCCTGCTCCAATAGCAGCAAACAGTGCAGATTTTTTTGGTTTTTGGTTCCAGTATGCTGGGGGTCTATGGGAGCTGAAGCCTGACCCATTACACACCAGTCACCTATTCTGACAAATAATAGGTAAGCAAGGTGTTTATTACTGTGAACTGAACTATACAAGCAACAAAACAAGTACACTAAATTAGAAGTCTTCAAGATGGCTGTATTGTGTTATGTAAGTTTTACATACTGCCCAAGTCATTATTCCAGCCTCAGACAGAAAAATAAAAAATAGTTTTTAAATAGTTTTACATATAGCTTTAAAATGGCCTAAAAAAGGAATCCAACACATCATTTATCTGTTTCACTTACCCTAAGTAGCAGTAATTGACATTGTGGAATAGCTTGCCTGCAAACATGCAAGGTACTGTTTCACTCTGTCTTTATATCATGACTGATGGCTCATTACTTAGCTATCTGTTTGTTGTGCATGTTGACTGAAGTGACAAACAATTGAAAAACGTGGAGCAGTTGAGGTTAAGGGCCTTGCTCAAAGGCCCAATGGTGAAATCACTATTCCGATCACAGTCCAAACCTGCAGACCCACAGTACACATTTAAAACATGTGGCTGACTTCTAATTACAGCACTTAGCAAAGTCAGCTGATAGTACTTGACAGTATCTGGCCCCCTAAAGTACCAAAAGAAAGCACAACTAATTATAATTGTAGAAAAAGTAGCGGGCTAATAATTTTACACTGCATGTAAAATTAAAATACTAACAGGAAGATGCTGTAAATAAAATTGTTTTCTATTTTTTCATGAACAGATACATACATACACACATACAGACACACACACAAATGTTTGTATTCACATCTTTGTGGGGATCATCCATTCATGTCTATGGGAAACACCCCACTGCCAACTATGACAACCTTAACTCCTACTCAGTCCTAACCTTAACCATAAGTAACCAAACAAAATACAAGACCTTTGGTATTTTTAGGTTTTTGATTTTCATAAAACTGAGTTTCCCTTTGTGGAGACCAAAAAGGTGGTCCCCACAACATTTTAATAAAAGGATTTATCTTTATACATAAGTCAATCCATGTTTTATTCATTTTTGCCATATTATCACCTGAAAAAACATAGTACTGTGAATATTAATTATGTGTAGTATCTGAATAATGGATGAGTACAAAAAGACAAAGCGGTTTAGTGTTATAATGAAGAAAATACAAAATATAATATGTTACATTCCTTGGTGGTAATGGTTAACTTCCTAGTATGTAAGCATGTCTAAATTTTAACCAGGGCATAAACAAACATGGGCTGAACCAATACAGCTTTCTGGCCCAGCCATTCATTGCACAATCACTAACAATGTGGTTCTTTCTATTCCAGCTTGTTCTGACTTGTCTGATTGACAAATATAAATGCACAACAACACCGTAAGTCCTTTTTAAACTGTATGTTTGTTTTGTATATCTTGGATATGTCTTATGTAGTTCATGAATTTTATTAAATATAATTTATTGTGTATATTATGTTTTAAATTACATTTCAATTTGCTTATAGACTACTTATTACTTATTTTGACGAAAATGTAATAGTAAATGCTTTTAAAAGTCAAATCAACAAATCCAAATCAAATAATTATGATAATTTAGCAATTACTAAATATGTAGATGATTGTACTCTCTATTAGTGATATCAAGTAATTTAATACCTTTTAGCAAAAACCAGTATTAAATACAGCCCAATCGTTACTGCAGTGTAGCTACATTTTGATTAACGATGTAACAAATATTTGTGTAATTTGAAAACAAATTGTTGTATAATGACTATAAATTTAATAACAATAAAATAATGCAACAACGACTTCTTGGGTGTTTTCCCGCTGCTTATTTGTTTCAGTGATCAGGTCTTTTCAATCACACCAAGACTGCAAGCGGATGTGGAACTGCTCAAGAATGTATCCAGCATGCATGAGGTTATTCATCAGCCATCTTTTTTGTCCACCTGTTAGTCCATTCAATTTAATTTAATTATGTTTTTATAGCACTGCTGTGACAAACTTCTTTTCTGAGCACCTAATATTCTGAGTTTTTATTATCTGGGACACCAAAACATTTTCATTTGATTTTGTTGCCATACAGTGCATTACAATAAATTATAATATTATATTAATATTGCTACAATGTAATACAGATAGTAAGCTATATTCTATATGTTGTTCTACTAGACAGTACTATGGCAGCCAGCCTCACCTGATCAAATCACAATCAATGCAGAAGTTCACCTGTTTATTCCTGCCTCCAGTCAAAAGCCCATCATAAAGCTGCTACAAAGATATGACATCACACACAGGTGATTTTTTTCCTTTCACAACATCCGTATTTTTTCATTCACATATTTTTTTTATACAACTCATTCTTTTAATTCATAATAACAATAATGGGTAAAATTCAAACTACATATGAAGTTTGTAAGCTCTATTCATCTCCCAATTCCTGAATGAATCCTCAAAATAGAACTAGGACTTTCCATAAAAATCATTTTATTTATGTATTTTTTCAGGGTTTTGCTGGCAAACGCTCAAGAGCTGATTGAGGCACAGAAAAGGAACTATTCCACAGACCCCAGGAGCAGCACATCTTATTATGAAAGATACCATCCCTTGGAGGATGTAAGAACATATTTTCCTGTCAAGTATTTGTATTTAAGCTGTGTCTTGGTAAAATCATTAAAGAGAGCAGCCTTAAAAATCATTACTCTCTGTGTTTTGTTATTAATTTGCTTTAAAAATGAAAGATATTCAACCAAGATGTGTCTCCTCAACAGATCTATCACTGGATCAATAAAACAAGTCGAGAATATTCCGAAAGGTTACAGGTCATACTAATCGGATCATCTGTTGAGAAACAACCTCTTTTTGTTCTGAAGGTAAAATTCTTCTCCTAGATCTTTTATGATAAAGCATGCAGAAATATTCATGATAAATAAAATGTCAAAATAAATTTCCATGCTGTGTTTTAATTTTTCACCTCAGCTATCGAGATGAAATGTCATGTGATAGTATTAGATTATACAGTGAGAAGCAAAAACATTGGGACACTAAAGGTAAAATGAGTTATTTTTGTTATATATTCATAAAAATGAGTCAAAAGATCAGCTGATATACCATGTTCTCCAGCCATTCTCCAGGTCAGTTAATCCCCTCCATCAAACCGTTCTCCAGCCATTATTCCATTAAATGGTCATATTACTGCAGGAAACACAGGGTACACCCTTAATGGGGTGACAAAAAAACACACAAAATTCTAATATATTTCTTGAATTAATTTATATATACTTTTTCCTCAGCTGTCCGGTAAAGGACATCAGCCTAAGAAAGCTATTTGGATGGACTGTGGCATTCATGCCAGAGAGTGGATATCCCCTGCATTCTGCATGTGGTTTGTTCAATATGTTAGTAACATATGTATATTGTCAAGCCGTTATATTTTATGTCCTTCTTAGTGTACTGTATGTTATACGGAAGAGGATTAGGGCCACCATGAAAATATTATTTGAATTCTGACTTTAATGTCAGAATTCTGACTTTTTTTCTAAACTCAGAATTCTGACATTAAAGTCAGAATTCAAATAATATTTTCATGGTGGCCCTAATCCTCTTCTGTAATCTTAGCACTGACAGATCATTTAAAAACAGAATTGCCGTAGAGTTACAACTACAATTTTGTCGGAAGATATTGTTCCCATACTAAAATATATATTTCCTATTCCTTCTTTTCTGTTCCACAGTCTGTCATGTTTTATAATCAACATTCTGACATCACTGAAATCCTGGATAAAATGGATATCTATGTCCTACCAGTTATGAATCCTGATGGATATAAATACTCATGGATAGAGGTAAGGGGTTCAAATAGCAAAAAAAGTTAAAATGTTTTGAGAACAGGTAGTTGTGAGACATACTTTATTAATATACTTATATATAACATATTAATATATTTTACTATATATTTCGCAACTACTTTTAGAGTCCATGTTCAGTACTGTACAACAATATTCATTTTTATAGTATGTTTATGAACATTACCATAAATTAAATTATACATAAAACTGAAAATAACTTTTTTTAAAAATCAACATATTCCTGATAGAAATTGCTTCAGTATTTCAGGCATTTACTCAGTCTGTATATTTGATACGTGCAGTTTTTTTCTACCCATAATTGAGAGCACTGAATTCTCATTGGTCAGAACCGAATGTGGAGAAAGAATCGTTCCAGAAATGTAGACAATGCCTGTGTAGGGACAGATCTCAACAGAAACTTTGATGCAAACTGGTGCAGTAAGTGTTGTTATTAAAAGTAATATACTTTTAAAGGTCTTTATATGTATGTTTGTTTATTAGTTTGTTTAATTATAAAGAATGATAATGTGGTAGTATACGTTCGTGAAAGTACAGTGATAAACTAATGTGCAAAAGTAATTAGGAGGTTATAACTGTATTTTTATGCTTGTATTATCAAAATTATAACAAACAGGACGAAGTTGAATAAAGTAACTGGTATCGGGAATATAATGTGGACGTGGTTTGACCTTTTATTACGGCTGATCATACAGCTAAGGGATCATCGGATAACCCCTGTGATGAGACATACTGCGGTAGATTTCCAGAGTCAGAACCAGAAGCTGCAGCTGTGTCTAACTTCATACGGAGCAGAAAGGATCTGGTGAAGCTGTACCTCTCCATCCATTCATACTCACAGATGCTGATCTTTCCATATTCATGTTCCTATCAAGAGGTCCCCAATCACCAAGAACTCGTAGGTCATTTAATCCGGTTAATTAACAATGTTCTTTGTCAATTTATAATATCCCTGATATCGTACTAATATGAGATAAATGTTTCTAAATTATTTTCCTTTTACTTTCAGTATGAGATTGCACGGGAAGCAGCAATGAAAATCAAAATACATTACAAAAACAATTACAAGTTTGGGGCTGGAGCAAAATCTTTCTGTAAGTTACTCTTCCTCAATAATAAATAACTTAAAATATTTCTGATATATTCAGGCATATTGTTACATTTATCAAAATAATGCTTAATATTGGAATAAATAACAAGCATCGATCTGTTCCTTTCGATGTTCAGATCTTGCTCCAGGTGGTTCTGATGACTGGGCATATAATCTTGGGATTGATTATTCTTTCACGTTTGAGCTTCAAGACAATGGCCGCTATGGATTCCTTCTCCCTCCGTCACATATTTCTAAGGCTTGCAGTGAAGCTCTTACAGCAGTGAAGAGCATTGCCCTCAGTGTCATCAAGAAAAGGCGTTTCAGCTAAAACTCTTCACAAAAATTCAGAATTATTGAAATGCTGTCATTCTTTTTAATATAATACTATACTGTATTGGCAAAGTCCTTCTACATGTGAGAGGGATATGATGTTGGGAACAACCATTGAAATTAATTTTTCCAGTATGTTAAAATGGGAAATAAATCATAAGCTATACTCCTGTATCTCAGTGTATGTTGTCTGCAGATTCTCCCACTGTGGGTTTCTCTGGTTTCCTTCGGTGTAGTATAGGTGAACTGATGTTTATAAATTTCACTAACCACAAGTCAGTGTAAATTTTGTCAAAATTACTGAGGGACGAACCAATATCACACTCACAAAAAATGACAAAAATATGCAGCAGCATTTTGAACCCAACATGTTGCTGTTTTGTCAATATGTTTAGCATCTCCTACATATGCAAGTCGCTTCCAGACACAGAAAAATGGAGATCAATACATAGTTTGTAAGGATGTGAGTATACTATGAGCTACTTCAGGTTTTACAAACTACTTTAAAACTGAAAGGCTCCTGTGCTTGGCTAATTAGTTCAGTTCTTCTTGTGCTTTTACTGGTTTGTTTCCTTGATTAAAAGACTCATCCAGCTGTTTCACGTTAACATTCTTGACACATGCATGATTATTGGAGACTGACCAATCAGCACAAAGCAAGAACTAAAGTGAAAAAAAGCTAAAGTGAAATTCAGGTCTTTTTTAATTGAACTGGTAGTTTACAAACCCTGACTTTGCTCATAGTGTGCCCTCTGACATGGATTAGGTCAGGGGTGGGCAATCTTATCTGCAAAGGGCCGGTGTGTATGCAGGTTTTCGCTGCAACTCCCTAATTAGGCCACTAATTAGAGGACTGATTGGCTGAGTCCTCACACCTGGGTTTGAACAGACCTAAAGGTTATCCCAAAAACCTGCATACACACCGGCCTTTGCGGATAAGATTGTCCACCCCTAGATGAGGTGATCACTCTACCTGAGTTTAACAGTCAACTAAACCAGCTTGCGAGCATTTTAGGATTACTGCAGTGGTCTCCAACCATTTTTACAGTGAGAGCTACTTTTACACACAAAAAAAATCTAGCAAGCTATCGCGTCGCGACGGTAAATCCTGTCGATCTGGGGTCCCCCTTTCAACCTCTGGATTACTGTAAATTCCTATAGCAACAAACACGCGCGCATTTTGATATCTGGAAAGAAATATCCCTACTTTGTGGTAACGCTGAGAGTAATTGCTAAATCCGCTTTCTGTAAAAAAAAAAACAAAAAAAACACCACTGATAAGTAAACAAACAACTTGACTTTGGTGGTGGTAACAGAAAAAGATACTTTTTTTTTCAGAAAAACATACTTTGCACATACAAAAATCGAAGCTACGCGTATCTACCTACGTCTTATGACATCAACTTCATGCGACACGCAGAAGAAGGACCCTGACTTTGCTCGTGCTGCACGTCGACGGAGCGTTTTGTTCTGCGAAAATGTGAATTGCGATTCGGCGTTAGACGTGTTATTCCTACGGAGTATTTTGGTATTTTTGCACCTATTCCCCGCAGCTTATCGTTTTGATCTACGACGATCTCTAAGATGTCTGTCACGGAAATGTTCAGCAACATTCAGGTTTTCCTATGTGCAGATCAAGATATTCGAGAGGTAACTAATAAAGTGAACTGGAGTCTAGGTAGTTAGCGTGTATGAACAGTATGCATCATTCATTTGCTTTATACATGTCTTTCATTATTATGCGTAACCGTATACAGGACGAATACAATTATTCCAAGAGCTGTAAATATAATAACTAAGAGAATTTTTGTTAATCTAGCTACGAATTTAACACGTTTCATTAACTTCTGTCTTTCCCCCTCAGGATATTAGGAAAGTCGTCCAAACTCTAGAACAGACTGCAAGGGAGATTTTAACTGTGCTTCAGAGTGTCCATCAGCCATCTGGTTTCAAAGAAAGTAAATTCAGTTTTCTATACATTTCTAAATAGTGATACTAGACTACATTGATCAGATCCACATGTCACAGCCATCTGTACAGTGTCTTTGTCTAATTATAATTACTTATTTTTCCTATCCTACCAGTTCCAAGCAAATGCTTAAGGGCTCGGGAGTTGTTTTGCATAATAAGGGATCATATCGGAGACCTGAAGACAAAGTTCCCCGTGGAGCAGTACTACAGGTTAGTTTGATTTGTCTGGCTACTCCTATAATAAATTAATAAATGTAGTGTTAAAGTTCAGAGCATCCATTTTTACATTCTTATATTTTAGGAGGCCAACATATGAAAAAATGTGATAACCAAATGAAATGACTTGGCTGTTTTTTCTTCTTCTTTGAGGTCAGTTAATCCTCAGGCATTTAATCTGCTGTATGTAATCTGTTTCACACAGATTCCATGAGCACTGGAGATTTGTCCTGCAGCGTGTTACATTTCTGGCAGCATTTGTAGTTTACCTGGAGAGTGAATCCCTGGTCACACGAGAAGAGGTGGCACAAATTCTTGGAAGTACGTACTTGTAATGCCTGTTCAGTCTTGACTTGATTCTTTGAGAGATTAAACCATATGATTTGTAACTGTTTCCTCTTGATCCACTCTGCAGTTGAAGTGGACAGAGAAAAAGGCTTTCATCTGGATGTTGAAGATTACTTAGCTGGGGTGCTCATCATGGCCAGTGAACTTGTGAGAGTCCATGCATTCTTTATGTTTTGTGTAATTGTGATGCATTTCTAAGTTAGTTTATGCTTTTTTGATAGTACTGCAGTAATTGCTACAAAAAATTGATTGACTCATTCATAAACAATCAAAGCATAACACATAAGCATCCATTATAAACATAAGGGGTTTCATGTCAGGAATGCCAGTTTTATTGTACATATTTGCAATTTTTTTTAAAAGTCCAGTCCACTCCTGTTCAGTGCATTAACTTTAATATTGCATCAAAATGTAAAAAAGTTTCAACTTGAGATCTCTCATAATGCGAGTTTGGTTTTACAATGCTTGCATTATACAGTATTTTCTTTTAATCTGATGTTGAAATGCTCCCAAACTTTTGATAGTTTCTGCTGTTTTCTGCCAGTAGTTTCTTTTGCTCTTCCCCATTTTCATTTTCCTCTTGGTGCTACAGTTAATGTCATCCATGGACTGCTGCAGTCTGTGTATGAGTTCATAAAGCGTAAAGAATCTGCCTTGAGGATTTTTATTAATCAAATAATTTTGAGTTATCATTTCAGCCATACAGTATTGAATTTCATTCATTTTGTACCTTCTCTATGCCTGTGGATTGGAGTCCTAAACCTTTTTTTCCAAGATTCCTAATCTTTCCTTCATATACTGTGAATATTTAAGTACCGTAATTAACTTAAAATACAAATATAAAAGTACAATTGTTTTGTGTGATATTTGCTTAAACATTTATAGAAGAGGCTCAGACAACATTTTAGGGATTTTTAATGCAGGAATACAGAAGGGATTTGCAAACTTGTAGTTCACAGCTGAATTTAATGTGGGGGAACAATCTAACCGTAATGATATGCAAGATGTCTCAGTTTTACATTTATCACCTTTAATAAAGTTTCATGCACCCCTCCCTACTTTCAGTCTAGGTTAGCAGTGAACAGTGTGACGGCAGGGGACTACAGCCGGCCACTGCGCATCTCTAACTTCATCAACGAGCTGGACTCTGGCTTTCGGCTGCTAAACCTGAAGAATGATCCATTGCGGAAGCGTTATGATGGTCTCAAGTATGATGTGAAGAAGATTGAGGAGGTTGTGTATGATCTGTCCATCCGTGGTCTCACCAAGGAGCAAGAGGCTGTTACAGACAAGTAGTTTAATGGATAGTGGGTTAGTTTTAATCATAGGCAAGTTTTGTTGTGCATGTTGGAACAAGGATGAAAGTGCAGTATTTCTAATGCAGGTCCTGCATTATTTTGACTAAAATTGTTGGAAAGCGGTCATTTGAAAAATCTCACGTCCTTTTTGCTTTGTTGATCAAACCTATGGAATGAATAACATTACATTGGAGAAGTTACCTTGTGTAAAGTTAGTAGATAATGAATAAATTTTATAGGCTTCACATCTTTTCTAATTGATTAGATTGTTCTACACAAATATTGCCATCAAATGACTCAAAGCACCCGGTTATCTAATTTCAGATGTGACTTAATAGTTGACTTGGAAATTACCCTTAATTTTCTGTTTTAAGATTCAATCGTTTTGTCCTCTACACATATTTTGACATGTCATATAAATGGCAGTGGAATGTAAAACTATGTGCAAACTTTTCCTTCTGTGTTGCCTTTATTGTTGAAATGATTTGATGCTGAAACTTTCTTTTTAAATCAGTATCTAACAAACATTAGATGCCTGCAAAGAAAGAGCATGCAGGCACCCACTCCAGATGTAAGACCCATTTTTTTTGTGGCACTTGACTGTTTTTTAGCATTTTTTTTCATGCATGAATCTATTGTTGACTAATTGTTAGTTTCTGGTATGTTAGATCTCATTCATTTTGGCAGGCATAGCCAATCTATGCAACTGTAAAAACAAAATTAAAATGTTTAATTGGGGAAAAGCGTCCTTAAATTTCCTTATGGATATGTATGTGGTGGAGGTCTGGAGCATATCCCAGGTAGCAAAAGGCACAAGGTTTGGGTAGACTCTGGATCAGGATTAGACAACCCCAATCCTGGAGTGCTGGTATCCGGCATATTTTCTGTCTTACCTGATGAGTTACCATTTGCTCTGCCTGAGATCAGGTGTGGTTCTTTAGAAATTGGGTATGATGGAAAACCTGCTGGATTCTGACACTTAAGGATCAGGTTAGCTGTCCCTACTCTGGACCATCGTGCTCATACAATATGGGCATTATAGAGAGACAGTGTTATACTAATTTCTTGTTTTTGGGGCTATGGGAGGGAAGAACATGCAATCCCCACATTAAAAAACATGGTCTGACCTTTGGAAGTGTCAGGCCACTGTGCTGCTCAAATTATGGGAATTGGTTTCTGTAAATTTTGGATGTGGATATGTGCCCTATGATGGACTGGAACAAGAGTGTCCCTGCTTTAACTGTATTTCTGGTGGAACAGAATCTGTATCTGAAGTTGCTACAGTGGTCAGAGGCCTCCATAGTCAAAAGGCTGCAGGGGTAGGTGAGATTGGTCTGGAGATGTTGAAAGTACTGGGTGAATGACATATTATCTCAGTTATTAGCAGATGATGTGCTTTTAGCCCTGTCAAACCAGGAGTTTAAGTATCCTGAGAACATTTTCAAAAGTGATGGTGTGATGACAACAGATTTATAGCACAAGCCATTCATCAAATTAATAAAAGCATCACATTGGACATAGGGAATTACTCACCCACAACTGTCTGCAGCATGCAGCTAATGGCTGCAGTTTTGTAGACAATAAGGGGAGGTCCGTGGTGGTGAAGTCAGTTAAGTGATCTGTGGCATGCGGTTTACTGGACAATAACCAGTACGTCCCTATCCTCATTTATGGTCATCAGCTACGGGCAATTACTGAAAGATTATCAAAATTAGGTTTCTCCCTTGATGGACTCACTCTCTGACAGGGTGAGGAGTCTGGAGGAACCTAAGAAATAGCTTGACTTCTCATACAAATTCTGAGGAATCATTTCAACTAGTCTGGGCATCTTATAAGAATGCCACTTGGACCCTCCCTCAAGGGGCTATTCTGAGCACGTCCCACTGGGTGGATGGTACAGGGAAGACCCAGGATAAACTTGAGGGCATGCATCTCCCAGCTGACTTGGAAACATCTGCACCTGACCCAAAAATGAGTTAGAGTCTGTGGTCTTTGGAAACAAATGTTTGGCATGACCTGCTCAGTAGGCTGCCACCACTGCCCCAGCCGTCACCAGGAAAACTGGTAGGACTATTAGATGAGATCGGTATACTTTTTGTGTGTGATTGTGATTATTTTCTTTGCAGAAATCAGTCAGAATCAACAGGAAAACCATATGTCTGCAAGAAACATATTCCAAGCCAGTCATGAAGTGAGAGAGAAAAACCACAGAACCAGAAACTGACCCCACACCATGACGACACAACTCGCCATCACACCAGATTTATGGCCATTGCTCTGGGAAGAACTAGCCTTTATTTAAACACAGCATACCATCAAGTGTTGTTTTCCTCTCATGTGACTGGACAAAGAAATTTTTCACATAGAATGTCACATAGCAATCAATTAAATTTTGTGCTTCCCAAAAAGCTTTAAAAACTAATTTATCAAGATGTGAAAGATGAGATGTGCTCATGTATTGAGAGGTTGTCTCTCTCAGCTTCTGTGTCAACAATCAACAGGATACCAATAAAATAAACAGTACTTACAATATATCTTACTGTATTTCTGAAATATTAAGAGAAAATTATATCCAACAAAATAAAAAACACATTAACCTTTTCCGTGCAATCAAAGGGCAGTCTATCCAGGGTATTCCACTTCCCTGTGTTACCCAGGATTAACTCCAAGGAGACAGATTAAACTAAAAATGAAATACAATATCTGAGAATGCAAACAAAAAGAAGAAGATACATATATACACATATGATTATGACCATCCACTTCCGGCTCTCAAAATTCGTTATCTGAAGATGTTTCCCCAAACTTCATCCACCACGGACTGCGAGACACCTGAAGCATTGTACTGTGCGACTGCCTGGCCCAGGAGGCCACTGGAGCAGACCTGCTGAGGTAGGCATCTACATCTAATCCTGAGCTGTTTCTCAGAGGAGGAGCACCTGAAAAACACAAAGTAAAGAAATGGCTACTTGTTCCTAACTAAATGTGTATGATTCTTTTTGTAATTATGAGCTGAAACATTAAACCACCAAACTATGGGGAACCTTACTCATCAGTAGCTCAATGTCTGTGTTAACTTGAGCCAGAAGAGCTTGTCTGTGCTGCTCAGCTCTCTGGTCCTTATCCTTCTTCATCAGGTTTTGCAGCAGCAGCTCCTGTGTCCTCAGATGAAGCTCCCTGCAGCTCTCCATTGAGACCAGATTAGACTAACAGGTATAAATGAAAGGTTAGTAGAACCTGTCTCTCGGCATTCAAAGTGTAAAACATTATTTAAATGTAGTAAATACACATTTAAGCAGGTGACCAAACCATTTTAGGGTAAATTGTTTTTTTCAATGCACTGCCATGATATTTGCTTTTGTAAACAAAAGATTTAAGCAGTACTTCTACAGTAGAGAATACTAGTAAATATTTAACTTTGGCCCATTTATAATTACATACAGAAAAACATAAGGCAAAGTTATAATTACATACGATATCAAAACTATAAAATAAGCAAGAGTGTACCGCTTGTCCTCCCTTACAGGATGAAGTGTGATGTATTCTTTGACTTCTTTTGTTAGGTCTGTTCTTATAGTGTCAGTCAAATGCCTAGTTCCCCTCCACGGAGAAAGCTGCTGCCTCATATCCCTCCTCCGCTTCAGAAAACCCAGCACCTACAGCATATCACAGTATTGCGAGAACAGAAAGTTTACATAGCCTTTCAGGTATATTTACCATACGACACTTTAATGTTTAGCATTTGACTATATTAAGCAATAAAATTTCTCATTTTTTACATTTGTTGTCTTTGTACATTTATAATTAAATATAGGGTTTAAATTATTTGTAAATCATTGGATTATGATTTTTTTTTTATTATTTAATTTTAGTTCCAACTGATTATTTTTATATATATATATATATTTTAGTAGATAATTTTTATATATATATTTTTACTTTATTATTTTATATCTCAAAATGAAAACATTCTGATTGAAAGAATCAATATTTTAATATCGATCCGCACATCCCTTTTGATTTGATAACAAGAGGTATGTTAAACTATTTGAAGTTGTTCTGGTTACTTGTATTTATGTTGGTTTTTCCTTGATTTTTTACGGTTTAATAATAAGCCTCTTGAATTTCATTAAGGGTACATAAAGGTTAGTGTTGTCGCCTCACACTCTGGGACCTGGGTTCAAGTCTCTGCCTGGATTCCAAGTGTGTGGGGTTTGCATGTTCTCCCTGTGTCATCATGAGGTTTCCTCTAGGTACTCTGGTTTCCCCCTCACAGTTAATTAGAGCCTGTTATTTAACTAACATTAGGTAAACTAGAATGTCACATGGAGAATTTTTCATGAAAGTAACACTAACATATGTAGCAAATGATATACCGCTCTCTGTATGGTGACTGCTGCTTTGGACTTCTTCAGTGCTTGCTTCTGCTGCTGAAAGTTTTTCCTCTCTCTGTATCCTCTCCATACCTTCTGTATATTTATTGCAGCTCTGTGCTCCACTTCACATAGATACCTGTCCATCTGGTCTGTGGAAAACACTAATGTTATGCAGAGGCAACTAAGATATATGACAAAGGTCCAAACATAGACTATTTAAAATATTCACATTTCAGAATAAGGTAATCAATAGAGTCAACTCCAAAATATGGGAAAATACAGACATATAAAACAAGAAATACAAATGGTTCAAATTTTCCTCAAAATGTTTGCAAAAACCATTTATTTATTAAAAATCAGTCCCACAAGAAAATTGTTTTATTTTGATAATAGTATATTCTCTCCCGGAACAAATCAGGCTTAATTGTTGGCGATCCCTAAAAAATACCTTAAACCAAACCAAAGAAAGTTGTATCTTGAGTGAAAAATAAACTTTTTATTACTCCTGTTATCCAAAAGCTCATTTCTTGTTTATGACCAATTCCCATTTCCTTTGGGTACAAATATGAGGTTATAGACATACTTTTGTCATCTATCAACATGGGTATATCCAAAGAGCTTTCAATTCAGTTTAGATTGAAGGTTGTTGATATGCACAAATTAGGCAGTGGTAACAAAAGATTCAAATGAAGGTACCATAGTTGATTCGAGTACAGTTTCAAGTTCACCTATGTATGGATTCTGTGTTGTCACTCATTCATATGAATTTTGACTAAATCTTGACTCAAACTCAAACATTTGCAACTCAAAAACCTTTCAACGTCCATCTGAGTTCATACCATATCCCATCCATAGCATAACCCATCAAAAGGCTCTTCCATCCCACCTCCTTCAATCAGAAAACCAACACCACTCCAAGCTCCCTGCATTATAGAAGACGGTTCTTGTGTAGTTCCCTGTACATGAAATGAGCTGCTGAACCACATGCAATCATCAGACACCTTCTCCACCTTCAAGAAATTACTAAAGACTCATTTGTCCCAAGAAATCCTCTACTGACCTGATGCTTCTTTACTTTATTTGAATGCTCTTATGTTACATTTCTGGCCCTTGAATAATATTATTAGGTTCTTATTTTGTTAATAGTTGCTGTGTATTAGTGTATTGTTGTGTTGTTCCCGCTCATATATTCTTACACTTGTTCTATGGAATATTATTTAGCACTATATAATTTGAGAGAGCATAATCATTATGATATTATCAAAAAGTATACCAAATACTCATGATGTAATCATTACAATGTAATCAACTGAGGATGTATCTGCCCCTTATGTTAGCCTCAAAGTTTCTGTTAGCTATTCT